TGAAGCCAGCTTAGCTGCTGACCCCACAGAGGTTTTTCCACCTTTTCCACAACCTCTCTCTAGTCCAAGGAGGAGGAAAGATTGGGGAGGGGGGCAGTCCTGGCTTTTCCCAAATTTTCCTAGGCTGGCAAAGTAGAGACTGAGCTGGTCCTTCCACAACAAGACTGCTTAGGCCACTTCTAATAAAACACAGTAACTGTTATAAAAAGCAGGGCCATTATTCTGTTGATTTGGTATTCTGTAGCTGAGTGGGTCATGTTTATCTTACCAGCATCTTCTGGGGGTGGATAATTAAGGGCATTTTTTCATGCTCCAGGAGTTAATTATTAGCCACAGACAAGTAGCCATTGAGCAACTTGGTCTCACAGCAAGAGGAAGAAAGCACAACAGAACACCTTTCATCTAAAGGAGGAAATAAAACCCTCTCTTTGCTGGGAAATACCCCTTATAAAATAAAACTTGTCACCTGATACCCAGAAAATAAACTAGTCTGGCTATTTGTACAAACTTTTCTTGGCAGCCATCATATTCTTAGTAACTGAACAATCAAACATTGCTCCCTGCATTAGTCTATGCGTCATTGATCATGCATTGCACACACACACACACACACACACACACACACACACACTTCCCCACTATCCTTCAGTAATAGGCAAGCATGTTTAAAACAGGAACAATCCCAGATCCCCCCAGCTTGTTGCACAAAAGTCCATCCAAACCATCAAAGTTTTGGGACATATGAAGGTTTTAGGAACATAGGAATTATAGACAGACTCTGATTAAGATGAGCACAGTTTGATTAGGAGAATCCTAATGCTCCAATGTTTGGAATTTTGATCCTTGACATCAGGACCAGCCCACAATATTTTGGCCCCTGAGGCGGGGAACTCAAACGATGCCCCCTTGCCTCCTCGCTTGGGCCAAAACTTTGAAAGGTCTCGAGTCTGCCTTCTTCCTGTTCTACTCCTCTCATGGGACTGCTCTGCTACCTACATCTGTACCAGCAGCAAACACAGTTTTCTACGCTCTGGGTCCTAGTGGCCCCCCCCCCCGAGTTTGGCACCTAAGGTGGCCGCCTCAGTTCGCATCATGGTAGGGAACTCTTGTAGGAAAGTGTTGGCTTTTACAGCCTGTTGGAGGTTACAAAATCCAGGCATCTCACTCATTCCGGGGACATGGACGGTACAGAGGATGGCAAAGGCCACCAGAGGAATCCATTCTCCAGACAAAGATGGTACTGAAAGTCAAAAATAATTCACATCAAAATGTGGAATGATTTCCTCCAGAATGAAGTAGACAATGAAAACCTTCAGGTGAGCAGAGATCTACAGTATGTTTTTTCTCATAGAATTCATTTCATTCTTACTGCAGAGCATAGGCTAACCCTGCCCAAACAGGATGGCTACGTCTACACTGGCCCCTTTTCCGGAAGGGGCATGTTAATTTCAGAAGCCATAATAGGGAAATCCGCGGGGGATTTAAATATCCCCCGCGGCATTTAAATAAAAATGTCCGCCGCTTTTTTCCGGCTTTTAAAAAAGCCGGAAAAGAGCGTCTAGACTGGCCCCGATCCTCCGGAAAAAGTGCCCTTTTCCGGAGGCTCTTATTCTTACTTTGAAGTAAGAATAAGAGCCTCCGGAAAAGGGCACTTTTTCCGGAGGATCGGGGCCAGTCTAGACGCTCTTTTCCGGCTTTTTTAAAAGCCGGAAAAAAGCGGCGGACATTTTTATTTAAATGTCGCGGGGGGTATTTAAATCCCCCGCGGATTTCCCTACGACGACTAGTGAAATTTACATGCCCCTTCCGGAAAAGGGGCCAGTGTAGACGTAGCCGATTAGTTTAGAACACCATTGTACCATAAATCGGGACAGGCACTAGCTGGTACTTTTTGTGATACCACTGCCCTCTAATGGCTAGAAATTAGACATTTGCAAGCAACCTTTCTTGTTGAAGGTCCACAAACTATAGTGACTTTTATGCAAAGTTAATTAGAGCCCTGCGCAGACAAAAAATTGGTATCTGCATCTAAATCTACAAAAACGATCCGCAGATTTCTGCATCCACCTCCACAGAGACAGATACCCACAGATATAAAGCAGATATCTGCAGATTTGCAGGATTGTACTTACAAAATCTATATCCATAGCCACAAAAATGAGCCATGGATGCGGATATTCACAGACATAAACTAGGTATCTGCAGATTTGCAGGGCTCTTAAGATAATAAAGAATTTCACAGACATTAATTTAACATAGCAATGCCCCATGGGAGGCAGGTAAGTATGACTCCGAGAACATCCTGATGCCAGGAGGGCTAGAGGCCTATTGGTACCAAGTTAGGAGCTTCCTCTGGCCTGGCCAATTCAGTGAACCCCAACTCAACTGTGGTTACAATGTGTATCTAAAAAGGTGTCAGGAAATCAAGGTACCCTTGGAAAACCAACAAGTCACTGAGCACTAATATTCATGCATGACGTATGCACAGGGTGCATGCAGAAAGTTATCAATACTTGCTAAAATTATGTTCTTAAAATGTGTTTGGTAAATCACACACAGTGCACCTTGGACAAAGGAATGGTCATTGGAGTCCCTGACCAGCCCAGTCTTTGGGCAGACAACGAAGGCTCCTTTTTACACACTGGTTTCCAAAAGGGGCCCTTCACTCACACAGGCATGGCACCTTCTCCTGGGGAATCTCTCCCCTGGCCAACTCCCCTGCCTGTGGTTGCCTGCTGTCTCTCCATCTCTCTCTTTGGCCTGCCGCTTCTTTGTCACTCCAGGAGTTGCTGGGTCCTCTCTGTGCCTCAGCCCTTCGCCCAGTTCACTCAGCGTTCTTCCCTTCCAGGATATAGTTTTTCAAAGTTTCCGTCACTCGCACAGAGCCCCAGGCAGTCTTCCATTCACTGCCCCACCAGTGTCATTTCCCCAGTACAGCTTAAGGGAATCCAAGCCCCCCTCTCCTCCAGGTTCCAGCCCGGGGACCCTACCACACACAGCTAAGGGCAGTTCAGTCCTCATCTTTGCTGCTTACTTGCTAGGCTGCTTCATGCCCTGGCATTCCCCATTACATGTTCGAGGGCCTCTCTATTGCCTCTTCCCGGGGGGTACCATGATTCTGTAGCTCTGTAGGCCCCTGACACACCTCCCTTCTCCAATGAAGTGACTGCAGACACCTCCTTGCAGCCCCTGGCCTGCTCTTAGCTCCATACCTTTATAGAAGGCCCTTGTGTTCCCACACAGGTGAACTTCCCCTAATCAGAGCTTTCCTCTCAGACTTCAGAGGAACAGGTTAATTTGTCCATCAGACCTCTATTACCCCCCTCAGGACATGTGCTGGGAGGGACACCCCCATCACACAAGTAAACAAAGCTATCAAGCTGGCCTGGAGACAGCAGAATGTCTGTGCTCACACCCAGCAGGAGAGAGAAACTTGGTCCAGGATTTTATTCCAGAGACTCCTCTGCGAAGGTTCATTGGTCTATAAAGACAGGGGTACCGAACCCCAAGTGATAACCAACTGACTCAACTGATTGTATTCAAGTGTATCAAGTAGGTATTTATGAAATGACACATTGGTGTTTAATATTATCGCAAAGTGTATGTATTGGCACGATACAAGGAATTATGGACACTGATTCATGTACGGCTTTACGGTCTGTGTCCAAACAAAGAGAGGAACAGGTCTCTCCCAGACAGGAGAGAATGTCCCAGCAGTCCCCTGAGTTAATTAAGCATGATGGATTCAAGACAATGGAAGCCCTATCTACACACCATGGGATGGAAAACCCATGGGGAGGGAAGAATGAAGTCATCCTGTCTCTTGAAGCAAAGCCATTACATTTGGGGAGATATAAGCAGAGATAGGAGTATACCGACACATGGCAACAGAGCTTTTGGGAGCTGAGGAAGATGGGTTCTTCAACCAGGGAGGTTGATGTCTCTAGAAACTGAATATCACTCAGGCAAAGATCTTTCACCAAGGCAGACAAGGGAAGGCATCCTCGTGTACTTCTGTGAAGGTCCTGACAGAGGAAAAAGTCAATGATGGCTGGGAAGGAGAATGATTGGTGAGAAAAACATTTTAAACAAACAAAACCTGTATCTTGCTAGATTAAGTTTTAGATGTTTAGACATGTGTTGTCACTTGTGCTTGTTGGTAACTCTTTCTAACTTTATTTCTCTTACTGGGTAGCTACTTAACGTATGTCTTATTGTTAATACATTTGGTTTTTTTTTTTTTTTTTACTATAAATCAACTCAGTGCTGTGTTTAAATGGAAGGGGGTATTTGCCCCAGTAAAGTAAATTAGCTAGGATGGTCTTTTGAGATGTTAGACGGAAAAAATAAACGTTATTTTCTTCTGAACTGCCCAAGAGAGGACTAGACATTACAGAGCACATGATTTTGGAAAATTCGGGATTGGGAGTATGTGGGGGTCACTCCGCAAGTAATAACCAAGATTGATAAAGGTCAGGAGCGTGACTGGTGTCTTACCAGCAGGCTGCTGGGTTCAGAGTTGCTGGAAGAGGGGTGATATTATGCAAACACCGTCCAGTGTGAGCTGCATGTTTGCTGCTAAACATCCCAAGCAGGGCGTTACCAGAGCCTGGCTTTTGAGGCATCCACAGTTACAGGACAGATAATGACTCAATGTCTCACTGATCTGGACTGCATCCCAGGCAACCTGATGCCACATTTTACTAAGAAGGAAACTATGGTCTAGGGATATTAGGTAACTTATTTGTAGTCACTTAATGAGTCAATGATAAAGCCAAGAACAGAAGTACCCCGAACAGAAGTTCCGTTGCCTGCTGTGAATGTTAGAGCACTGTTTTTCCTGTAGTACAAACTGTTGCATTCCTACGTTTCTGGTAACACTCCATGCGTGTGGCTTCACTTGTGACTCAAGGTGTTGGTCTCATAGACCCTGTTCAACAGGTGGCTTTAAAAAATTTTAAATCTCCTACTAAATAAATAACGTGACCTTCTGAATGCAGTTATTTACAGATTTCAGGAGAGGTTGGGGAACCAGGCGTTTGAAAGGAAAATGACTTTCTTGGTGTTCATCTTCTTGCTGTCCTTCCTCCAAGTGGAGTCTGCAAAAAGTAAGTATTTAACCAGTGCCTGAGTGATGAGTGTGAGAAGCATGTTGATGTTTGGTATCAACAGTACCTGTAAGGCTGATCTTACGCAGTACATTGAAGGCATAGTTATGACCAAATAGATGAATGTTCTTTACACTCATGCTGATCTCTTGAGACCATTCAGATTAGAGGCAATTCTGCTGATATCTCAGATTTCTGGGCTTTCTCATTTCCTCGTCTTTTTCTCTCTGTTGTGGTATATGGTCTGAAATCTCCTGGGCACTAGAGCTGTGTGAGGCCTTGCGTTTTTTTGTCCAGGGGGGGCAGCTCCCAGAAACCTTTCTGCAATTTTGTAGTTTGGGTTCCAAACCCCAAGCTCCATTTTGAGTTTGGGGTTCGATTGGACGGAAAATGTAAGTGCTAAGCTTCTCTCAATCAATGTGACAGGGTGTGGCCCGAAATAATAGGCTACCCCTCCCGTTTAGCATTGTGTCTTTCAAAAGATAAAATCAGGCTCAGGGCTCTCTCCACATTCAGCCTCCCCCTTTCAAGGTTCCTGAACCTCAATGAAACTATGGAAAAAAAGCTGAGTTTTTGAGTTTGCAACCAACCCAGCAGATGAAACCATCATTAAGGAAAGGTTCCGTAGGTCTGACTGGGACCCATTGCTTTGCAACATTTCAGATCTCTGCTGGTTTGAGCCAGGATAGAATAGCCAGTGCAGTGACTGTTTCCACAACTATTTAGAACTAGAAGATTTAACGGGCATTGCTCGGGTCCTTAACTCAATTATTATTATTTTTTGGAAAAGAAAATGAAAATGTCCAGGCTTCATTTAAATCTTTGCTCTGGGTGGGGCCAGGGAGGAGGGGCACAGGATGCAGGTTGCCCCCAGGGAGAGAGGAATACCCCAGCCCTCCCTCACCACAGTAGCTTGGGGCCAGGTAAGAGGCATCTCTCCATGGCCACTACAGCCCCCTATTTGCCCCTGCCTCCCCCAGGCAGAATGAGGAATGCAGCCAACTGTGCACTTTCCCCTCACTCCCTGACAAAGGGGAACAGCCGTTCCTGGAGGAACTGTGGAGGGGGGGGGGGGTGGAGCTGCAGCCTTCCACCACACCCTAAAAAATGCCTGTGGGGTGGGAGGCTCATAACTGGGGCAGTCCAGGATGTTGGGAGGGGGGCCACACCAGCGACCCCCTTTCACCTGCCTGGTGATTCTGTCTCTCTTCTGTATGGTTTTATGCATCCCCATATGAATGGGAGGGAGATTCAGCTCCTTCTTCCCTCCCTAAAGGGCAAATGGGGGGCAGAACACACGGGGCTAGGACAGTCCAGGAGGGGGGCGATATGCCCTTGCCAGCCCCCTTCCCCTGCCTGGTGTTTCTGTGTCTCTTCGGTATGGTTTTATGAGAAGCAATCCCATTCCAGGCACAGAGAGAGACAGACAGACACACAAAGGGTGTGTCTAGACTACAGGGTTGTTGTTGGGTTTTTTTCGAAAAAAGTAGCCTTTTTCGTAAAAACTTCACCTGCGTCTAGACTGAAGCCATGTTCTTTCAAAAGTAAATCGAAAGAACGCGGCAGTTTTTTTGATCACGGTAAACCTCATTTTATGAGGAATAACACCTTTTTTTGAAAGAACTCTTTCGAAAAAAGGCACTATTGAATGCAAACTGTGCTTTTTCGAAAGATTTTTCGAAAAAAGTAGCCTTTTTCGTAAAAACTTCACCTGCGTCTAGACTGAAGCCATGTTCTTTCAAAAGTAAATCGAAAGAACGCGGCAGTTTTTTTGATCACGGTAAACCTCATTTTATGAGGAATAACACCTTTTTTTGAAAGAACTCTTTCGAAAAAAGGCACTATTGAATGCAAACTGTGCTTTTTCGAAAGA